GGGGGGGGGGGGAAGGCAGAGAATGAATATACTTCTTCCCAAAAAAGATAACAGATAGCTAACAGGCTCATGAAAAGATTAAACATCACTTTCAAATCAAATGCAAATTAAAACCACAATGAGATATTGCCTCACATCTGTTAGAACTGCTATTTTCCAAAAGATAAGAAGTAAATGTTGGAGAAAAGAACCCTTAAATACTACTTGTAGGACTGTAAATAGTAAAGCCACTATTGAAAGCAGTTATGAAGATTCTTAAAAATTGTAACTAGAGGCCCTCCCTGGTGGCGCAGTGGGTTAAAGCACAGCAGTAAGAAGCTAAAGCCGCTTTAGCATGAATTCGAACTCTGCCAGCCCCGAAGCTGATCCACAAGGAGAGGCAGACCTCTCCTGACCTGCCCACTGCTCCTCTCAGCAATGTACTTGTCAATCTGCCTATTCTGTCCCCCTGTCTATCTCTGGTGAATCCTCTCGCAGTCCCTGCACCTCTGGCCTGTACCCCAGTTCTGTATGCATAAATAAATAAATCTTAAAAAAAAAAACTTATAACTAGAAATTCCAAACTATCTAGTTATTCCACTTCTGGGTACTAATCCCCAAAATAGTGCTGAAATAAGCGCGAGGGTGCATATAACTGCATGTTTATTTACTGCAGTACTATTTACAATAGCCAAGAACTGGATATAATTAACCGGTGAATTGCTGCGTATGTATATAACAACAAATTAAAAGAAGATGAAATCCTGCTATTTGCAATACTATACGTGGCTCCAGAGGGAATTATGCTTAGTGCACTAAGTAAAAAAGAGAAAGCCAAACATCTTATGCTTTTATGCATATGTGTTTATAGAGGAAACTAACAAAATAAAACAAAACTTCTGGACTATATATCAACTCATGGTTACAGGATGGGTAGAAGTAAGGAGATGGTTAAATCACAGAATGGTAAAGGATGGAGTTTGATTTTAGCGGGAAATGTAATGCATCATAAAAACATGTTGAATCTCAAATGTGTAAAACACAACATAAAGTTTTAGCAAACAACCAAATTTTAAAGTTGTTTCCTTCATTGGTTATATCTAAGTAATAAATCTTTTAGCTTAAAACTATAGAAAAGAGATTCTCCTTGGTGGCACAACGGGTTAAAGAACAGCACAGCAAGCTGGCCGCAGCCCCTTCACTGCGAGTTTGATCCCTGGTGTGGAGGTGCGAGTTTGATCCCTGGTGTGGAGGTGACCCACCTGGCACAGCAGAACTTGCCTGACCCGACCACTGCTCTCCTCAGCAGTGTACTTCTCAATCTGTCTGTTCTGCTCTCCACTCTGTCTCTGGTGGATCCTCTCACAGCCCCTGCACCTCTGACCTACACCCCAGTTATGTGTGCACAAATAAATAAATCTTAACATATATATATATATAAGAGATTATAAATTGCAGATTATCTATTCTGAAACAGTTTAACAGCTTTAAATAATTAATGCATTTTTTCAAAGATTTATTTATCTATTCATAAAGAACTGGGGTACAGGCCAGAGGTGAAGCGGTAATGAGAGGATCCACCAGAGACAGAGAAGGAAGCAGAGCAGGTGGACTGACAAAGTACACTGCTGAGGGGAGCAGCGGGCGGGTCAGGAGAGATCTGCTGTGCCATGTGGGTCACCTCTGGGCTGAGGCTTGAAATTGCACTGAAGAGGCTGTGGCTAGCCAGTGCTGCAGTGCTGAGTCTTAACCTGCTGCGCCACCAGGGAGGGCCCCATATAACATTTCTTAATCTACTTTCCTAGAAAGGAATCACATTTATGAAATGTGTGGTACTCTAAAATACCAGAAGGGGTAATAAAAATAAGTGTGTGAGGTAAACATTGGAAGAAAGATAAGGGAAAGGAGTACTGACAGTAAGATAAGTAGTTTTCAACTCTCTGCACATATGAGCCATCTTGTCATTGATGCCCAGGTAACCTCACCCAGTTCAAATTTAACTGTTGTGAAGATGGGGTCCTGGCCATATTATTCTAATATGCAACCAGGATTGACTAATTACAGTATTTCTGGCTTAGATGCACTACCTTGGTGAAAAAGGAAAACACAAAAGTTGGCGTTAATTTTGATTCAGAAAGCAAAAATACATGGGTTAAGGGCTAAACAATTCACACTATTCCTCTGCTTTAAAATACATACATGACTAAACTCTTACATGGGTTAAGGGCTAAACAATTCACACTATTCCTCTGCTTTAAAATACATACATGACTAAACTCTTCAATGGATCCCATGGTTTACTATAGAGGGTTTACTGTCTTAGTTAACTTACAAGTCTCTCTATAATCTCTTATCTACTTCTCCAACTTCATCTCTTCTAACTGCCCCACAGACAAAGTAAGCTACAGCCAAAGTATTTTCAGTGTACCAAACTGGTTCACTGTTCAACTATTTCCATGTAAGACCTTACATAAGACCTTCTTAGAATGACAACCACCTTCATTTCAGTTGACTCAATATGTCTTGAAAACCCCTATTTATAATTAAAGTCAAAGTATACCTTTTTTTGTAAAGTCTTCTAGAAGCCACCTGAGAAAAATTAGTCACTTCCTTTTTGCAGTCGCTACTGTATTTTTATAGATGTCTGCTAAATAATTTACCACATTGTGTTTTTCTCATTGCTGCCCCATTTCTGGGTACCTTATTTTTTTTTTAAATCTTTGTCTCTCCATCACAAAATTCTGAACTAGCTAAGGGCCTCAAAATGATAATAAAAAAGGACAGAATTACCACTAGCTCTAAAATTTCAACAAGACAGTTAAAGGAAAAGAAAATTACAAAAGAGTAAAGGGGATTTGAGAGGTTGAACAATTACATGACTATAAAAGCAGTATAAAGTGTCTTTCATCATCTCCTGAATTTTATCGGACATGGGGCAGATTACATAGTGAGAACCACTGACTTTGGTAGTATTTTATTTCTTAAATTGTGAAAAAATACACATAGATGATTATTAATCTTTATACTTTTTAGCCTATCTTTAAGATGTTGCTTTACACAGCAATGAATTCATGTAACAAGTGTCAGAAAACAAACTTTTAAAAATAATGTATTCTGTGCCTTCCTAGTAGTGCAAGAGGTTATGTCTTAGCACTAACAAGCTATCTGCAGCAGGTATTTGATCTCCAGCCAAGGACTGGTGACCTACATGGCCCAACAGAACTCTCCAGTTTTGCCCACTGCTCCCCCCACCAGTGAATTTCAGTAAATCTGCCTGTTCTTCTCCCACTCTTCAACTAATAAATACTATCACCCTCCCCCACCCCCAACATACACACACTTCTGGCTTACACCCCAGCTCTTGTATGCCTAAATAAATAAAATAAATCTTTTAAAAAATAATAATTCAATTTATGGGTAATAAACACAGGACTTAAAACTCTAGCCATTCTGAAATCACTTCAAAACTATATCTGCACACATAGGTATATGTGTTTGCACATATCTTTACAACCTTAACGAAAAGTATTTTAGCGTTCTTATCAACAAGTGAACTAAATCCATTTCACGTCTCAAATCCTGAAAAAAAGGTATCACATTAACAGCAGCAAATCCGTAACATCACAAAACACTGATTTACAGTATGTCCGGATTTAAATGCAAAATAAAACTAGTCGAATTTAAAAACGGGCTTCCATCACAAGAAAACATTGCCGAAATAACGCCTAAAATTCGACTTATTATCCATTCCCTACCCCCTCCCTCCCTTTTAGGAGACATCACCTCTCATTCTCACTGACTCAGAACAGGTTTTACAACTTCTTGGATCATTGGATTCGCAACTTCTAGGTGTCTCACAACCAGTTCTGGACTAATTATGGACACGCAATATCCTACACAGACCAAAGGCATTCGTAGTAAGTTTCTAACATCTAAGAAAGGAATACAGGAAACCCATGTTATCTCAATAGGACAACTCCTTCCCGAGTCTTACCAAGAGCAGAGCGAAGAACGCCAAGAATCACTGGCACTGAGCAGGGAAGAAAACAAAGCGATACTAAAAAAAGTTGATAGGTTTCAGGGGCGGACTCTTATCCCAGGGCAAGACACAGAAACCAGGGTGCTTAATCAGCATCGGGAAAAACCCTCAAAACACCTCTACTATTATTAGGTGCTTTCTGTTCTACGTCTCTAAAATCCCAAAATTTTTGTTTGAATTCTGGGACACTAAACACCTCCTTTTCCGACTTCCCGTGCCCCACACCGCGGGTCTCTCCCGCACCACCCCCTAGCGTAATCACCGCGTTTCTACCCGTCCCCTCCAGTCACTTCTCGGCGTTTCGAACATCTGCGCCCACCAGGAGCCCCGCCTCTGGCGGTCCTCCCGCGGCCAGACCCTCCTTAGACGCGGGCCGTCGCGCAGCTCCAACCTTCTCACCTTGGTTACAGAAGAGGCTCCACAGTTTAGCGAAGATCAGCCCCATCATGAGCACCTCGACGGGCCGCGGGGTCCCTCAGCAGCAGGTGCCGCTGCGCCGGGTCCCCCACCGCGACGCTGCCTGTGGGAGACCGAGGAGAAGCCGACTGAGACGGCGTGGCGAGGGCCGCGGAGAGTCCACAGCCTCAATCCGGCTCGGCGAGCCGTCCGAAGGTGCCGCGCCGAGTCCCCTACCGGATAGTCCTTTGTTTCGACCCCCTGAGCCCAGCGCCGACCCGTAGTCCCCTCGGTCTGAACCCACCTACCCCGCGGCGTCTCAACCAGCTCCAAGCCCCGCCTCCGCTCCGCCTCCCCTCCCGAGCCCGGGACCACCCATCGCCGGAAAAACGGGGTTTGACGTCGGCGTGCTGACGTCCACCCACGCCGTGGACGTGGCGTTTCCTCCAGTTTCACTTCCGGCTAGCGGGCTCGGCGCCGTGGGTGCGTGCGGGCTGCAGCTGGGGGGGGCGGGGGGGTGTTGGAGTGTGGTGAGCGTGGGCAGCGCTTGCTGTCGTCACTGCCCAGGTCTCCCCACCGTCGAGGTGTCAGCCTCTGGCAGGTGACTTTGCCTGAAAGGGACCAACTGAGTTTGTGTACAGAAATGAACAATGTTTCGTTCGCTACTAAACTTTATGTCACCGTGTACAGGCAGGTCGGCCGCCTTGGGGTTCTGCGGTAATTCTGAATAGAATGGATGGGGAGACTAGCTGGTCAGTCTCGTGGTTAATTTAGTCCCCTCCCCAATTTTGCCTAGCATGGGGCAAAATTGTTCCTGGGTCCCCAAAGCACAAAGAAGAAATTAACCTTTTCTGAAATTTTCGTTGGAAATAAATTCTTCTAATTCAAACGGAATCCCAGTAATGTCTCCAGGCGAGCAACATAGAAGAGCAACATAGAGAACATACTGGTGGGCAAAGCAAATTTCAAGGAACAAAAGTCGAACCAAAGAATTACATATATATAATATTTCCTAGAAGAAATGTTCACTAAATGGATAATACTTGGAAGAACTGACTGCAGCTGGACTTGAACTTTATTATTCAGTTAACTAAGAAACCCCCATATATAAGCCATTTCGCTACATGATGTTTCCATTTTTTCTTTTTCATGGTTAGTTGTTAACAAACCTAACTTAAACTTGTAAGTAAACCTTGTAAAACTTTAAAGGCTTCACAGCCTGGCATAAACCGAAATTTAGTGCAGGTGAAACCAGTTGAAGGAGTGCGCTTAGCTGAAAGGATGATGCTATTTCGCCAGGTGCAAGGATTTTTAACCCTGACGGCTGGCTTTTTAATATACTGAACTGTTTTGTTACCTGTACAAAGTGCAGGGTTTATTATATCCTTCCAATATTAGGATTCAAAGACCCAATAAGATTTTTATGTGGGTTAGTGTATTCCAACTTTCTGGTAATGAGGTCAAGTTATACTTCTAAATATTTCCTGAGGGTTAGTTTAATGTTCGTGTCTATGCACTGAACAATAACTATAAGTGATTTTGTGTTTGTATAAGTAGAGACTTTAAAGGACATTTAAAGTCCTGCTTTAATTATTAAAAACAAACTTTAGAGTCTATAGTTTCTTCGAGTACTACATGTGTATTAAATCACATTATTTTTTGGTCAGATTTCTAAGAAGCAGTTCTGATATTTTTTTTAATAGAGCTTATATGAGCAAGAAATTATTTTTATGATGACATAATGATACCTTAGATGCATACATACATGTTAAGGTTGAATTAAATATTTTACTTGTAATTAAATGAATAAATATATTTAGGCAGGAATGTATATTTGTATTGCTTCTCATCTTTTGAAATGTCTGAAACTTTCGTGGTTTTGCTTACGTTTATATTTTTTGTACAGTTTACCTGACAAAGGGACTGCTGTACCTTAAAAATATTTTCCACATTGACAAGTTTCATTTGCAGATAATAGAAATTTAAAATTTTTATCAACTGGAAGGAACAAAAAGTGACAAATGATACCCAAATATGATTGATTGCCAGAATATAATTGTAGATTATTTAAGCAAAACATGCAGGTGGGTTATAACTGTTAGACAAAATCTGTTAGAGATATGATATAGAAGTATCTACTAGGGCCCTCCCTAGTGACACAACGGGTTAAAACACAGCACTATGAAGCTACCTCAGCCACTGCAGCATGAGTTCCATCCCTAGCCAGGGAGATGACCCACATGGGGTAGCAGACCTCTCCTGACCCTCAGGCTGCCCCTCTCAGCAGTGCATTTCAGTTGATCTGCCTGTTCTGTTCCCCACTCTGTCAATGGTGAATCCCCTCCCCCACACCTCTGGCCTGTACCCAGTCCGGTAAACATTAATACATTAAAAAAAGAGAAATATCTGCTAGATATTATTTTGTTAGATGAAATAAACTTTAGTTCACATTGTACATTTGTATCAATTTTATAAATTGTAGTAGCAATTCTGTCAATTCAAACTAGGGAATTTGTAGTAACATGTTTTTTAAATATAGCATCTAAAGCATTTTTGTAATTATTTTTTAAAATGTCCCTTTAAGGGCCCTTCCTGGTGGTGGGTGCAATGGGTTAAAGCACAGCACTGTAAAGCTAACTGCAGCCACTATAGCACAAGTTCAATCTCTATCAGGGAGGTGACCCACATGGTGCAGCAGACCTCTCCTGTCTGTCTCCCCTGCTGCTCCCTTCAACAGTGTATTTCAGTCGATCTGCCTGTTCTGCTCCCAACTCTGTGAATCCTCTTACACACAACCCCCAAACCCCCACACCTCTGGCCTATACCCCAGTTCTGTATAAATAAATAAACAAGTGTTTTAATAAAATAACCCTTTACAAACTTTAGAAACTTATTATAGTGTAGCCCTTGATTCAAAGGAGGTAATATTGTTATATGGAATGTTGTTATATGAATATACTTTGCATTCCTGAAGGGAAAAATAATGGGAGGAGAGAACATAATACAGTCATTAGGTTATAAATTATGTTTTGAAATGTAAAGGGGCAATAACTTCCTTAAATTGGAATGGAATCCCACATCTCCCCAGTTCAACACATTTTAAGAAAACTTTACAAGTGCTATACTTAAAGCAAGACAATGAAATTAAATTGCTAGGGAATAAACAAATATCTATATCTACTATTTTTTGGTAACAAATATTATAAATTAGGGCCTCCGTGGTGGCACAGAGGTTAAAACCTCAGTGCCATCAAACCATCTCCAGCCATTGTGGCATGAGTTTGAACCTGGCCAGGAAACTAACCCACAAGCTACAGTAACATCTCCTTTCTCACCTGCCTGCTGTTCCCTGCTCCCCTCAACAGTGTATTTCAGTGGATCTGCCTGTTCTGCTTCCCCACTCTGTCTCTGGTGAATCCTCTCAAAACCCCCTACCCCAAATTGTGGCCTACACCCCAGTTCTCATATGCATAAATAAAATATCTCTAAAAAAAAAGCACTATTATAAACTAATTGCAGATAATAATCAGAGGAACTGGCTTCAGTTGGAATTGAATTCAATTTATTATTTCATTAACTATAAAAATGAGTCCAAGGACAGCATGTTCTTCCAACCAGGAACAAAATGAACTCTTTAAAAAAAAAAAAAAAGATTTATTTATGCATACAGAACTGGGGTACAAGCCAGAGGAGCAGGGGCAGCGACAGGATTCACCAGAGACAGAGTGGGGAGCAGAACAGGCAGATCTGGGAAGAACACTACAGCAGGTGAGACAGGAGAGGTCTGCTGTGGCCTGTGGATCATCTTCCAGGTAGGGATCAAACACCCATCGACGAGGCTGTGTCTAGCTTGCACTGCTGTGTCCTAACCCATTGCACCAGTTAGCTGCAGAAGAATACAACTGAAGAAATATGCCATGGTGGAAACACTAGATACTGGCTTTAGAAACCAGGTGTCTTTTTATTCTAATCCAGCTTCATGAGCTGTTAGGTGATGGGAACATATATCAACTCTGGGAGCTTTGTTTTACTCCTCTGTGAAATAATGATAACCATCTCGTAGAGTTGTGTAGCCATGGTTGCAATTTAGAATATTTTTTACAGAACTTGGTATGTCATACAAAGTAGCTATTGTATTTTTAAGAAACATTCCCATCTGGGTAAAATTCATTAAGGAAAAAAAAAACAATTACTACAGTTATCTGTTAATGACCACTCTGTACTGGAAAAACAAACAAAAAACCCCCAAACAATAAAAACCAACAAATTGTTTTCCTCATCCTTATAGCACAAAACGTTAGGTCAAGGGCTTCCTGAGCTTTAGAGTAAAATCAACGATGATATAGGTAGTTGTTAGCTTTCAACTAATTTTAAGTTCTGTCTATGAGTTTCAAAAATTTCTGAACGTTCATATAAACAAACCATCAAACCAGTTATGGAGATTTTTTTTTTTAAAGATTTATTTATTTGTGCATACAGAACTGGGGTACAGGCCAGAGGCTCAGGGGCGGTGAGTGGCTTCACCAGAGACAGAGTGAGGAGCAGAACAGGCAGATCGACGAAGTACACTGCTGAGGGGAGCAGCGGGCGGGTCAGGAGAGGTCTGCCAAGCCATGTGGTCACCTCCGGGGCAGGTGGGAATCGAATTCATGCGGAAATGGTTTCAGCTTCTTAGTGCGGTGCTTTAACCCGCTGCGCCACCAGGGAGGGCCCAGTGATGGAGATTTTTAATGTTCATTCTCAACTGAAGTCAGAGCTGTATGCCTGAAAGAGGTGAGGTAGTTCCACGGAATCAAAGGGAGCTTTCAAGGTCCGAATAAACTGGCTTCATCCTTTCTTGGAGTTCTAGCCAATAAAGAAAGGCGACCAGTAACTGGGCTCCGCCTCACATTGGGAAAGTGAAATTTTCGATTCAACCCACCCCATCTTTCCTATTTCCCCAGGCACCCAGCCTCCCTCACCCAAGCGATCGGTAAGTTAGCTCCCCGCAATTGCTATCCCCTTTGCTTCGCCCTTAAAAGACCCTAAAGCCGGGCATTCCAGATCGGAAACTGGTGGAACGTGACTTAAAGGAAATTTGCTGTCAGTGGGGGCGGGGCCGGGGCGGGACGTCCGCGCGTCACCGGAAGTGATGCAGTAGGAAAGTCGCTTTCGGCAGAGAAAGTGGGAGCGCGAGTTTGGAAATTTAGGCCTTTAGATTGGAAACCTCAAAGCGGTGCCGCCGTGTTTGCAGCGCTACGCCCACTTCGCCACTGACTTGCTCGTCACGCCCTTCTTTGTTTTCCGCAACCCGGGTGGCTTCGTTGCACGGTGACTTCCGTGGGAGTCCCTAATTTTAGGAGGACCGGGTACCGGTGCGGTGCAGCCAGGAAGCCGTCTGCACCAGCTGTGGGTCCTGGGGAAGCGTGGAGTCCCCTGCAGTTCCGAATATAACCTGGCCGAGCGGGACTTTTCCTGGGCATCTTGTCCCGGCTCGTTGTGGAGGGTTATTCCCGCTGCACAGGCCCACGACTATTCGGCAGCAGCTTAACTACGGTTTTCTCAACATTTCTCCTAGAGAAAACGAAGCCAGAGGAAAATGTTTGTTTTCCCTAAAATATCTTTAAGACTTGAGGTTGAAAACTATCTTAAAGAAAGTTTTATGAATAAAGAGGTAGGTCAGATATGTTAGATATTTGCAAAAACTCAAACACGCACTTTAGAAATAGAACACGGCTAAAAGAAAATTTAGTTTTTGGAGCTGCTTTACTGCTTGTTTTTCCGAATGTAAAAAATTCTTTCCGCAGGTATTTAATGTTTCCCGAGATCTGAGGTAACTGAGGTATATGTTTTACTTTTAAATATGAGTAAAGCCATGTCTGGCAGTAGGATTGGCACTGTAGGATTTGCAAGGATGAGCAAAGACTCTACCCTTGAGCATTTGCCCTGTAGAGAGGCTACACCATTCTTTCCCAACACGAGATATGCAAGCATCCAGGTGAAAGGGATACTATAATTTGAGTGGCTGTTTACATGCCAGCAGTTGTTCTAGATGATTTGCAGATCTTTACATTTGTGAAATTTGTTTTGGTAGGGGATTCTTATGCACTTTAATAGGTGAGGAAACAGAGTCTCAGGAAATGTGTAACTGACAAAATTGAACACAGCTCTCAGGTAACAGTACTGAAACGAAACGTAGGGATTTGGAATCCGGAACCCATGATTGCTGTCAGTACTTGAGTAAATTACAGCACTTCACTTAACTGATTTTCTTTCTGTGAAAAGTGATAGTTGGAAATACAAGGTCGTGTTAGTATATTAATCGTAAGAGAAAGCAGTGCATGTTGGCCACACAGTAAGCCCTCAACAGTGTTTATTTGCTACTAGCAGTGCCCAGCACAGAAGTCTTTAAATGCTGATTGTCTTTGATTATCGAACCTGTTTCCTTTCCACTTTACCATCCTAGTCTAGGCAACTTTGCATTTTCCAAATCTTTGGTTTCCTAGTCAGACTGATAAAACGTTACCATTATGTGCGTTATAAATAAGTGGAATAAAACCTGAATTTATATGTATAAATGTAACATATTAATATAAATCTAAAGGTTTGAAGTTGAAGCCCTTTATTTTGGGTGTTTGTTAGGTATTTATATTTATTATCATCACTAAACCTAGTCACCCTTAGAGAGATACCATTGTTACCTTTTTTTTTAAAGATTTATTTACTTACGCATACAGAACTGGGGTACAGGCCTGAGTGTGGGAAGTGAGAGGATTCACCAGAGACAGAGTGGGGAGAAGAACAAGTAGGTGTACTGAGATACACTGCTGAGGGGAGCAGCTGGGGAGACAGGAGAGGTCTGCTATACCATGTGGGTTACCTCCCTAGCAGGGGATCGAACTCATGCTGCAGTGGCTTCAGATAGTTTCATGGAGCTGTGCTTAAATCCATTGTGCCACCAAAGAGGAAATACCGTTGTAATATTACTATTAATATATACTTTAGCAAAATGGAATGGAAATGGACAGTATTAAAAGTTTTTTTTTTTAAGTTGGAACAGATGTGGATACATTTTCTGCTTAGTATTTGTAATTTTTCTAATGGAATTGATATATTAACTTTATATTTTCTTTTCAGCTTGTGTCTGCTTTAGGTAAGCACGAAGCAGAAAGGAAGTTTGAAAGTCTATTAAGTCACTTATCATACCCTCCATCATTCACTACTGTCAGAGTAAATACACATTTAGCATCAGTACAGCATGTGAAAAATCTGTTATGTGACGAACTTCAGAAGGTTGGTGCATGTTTCTTTTATGTTGGCTGTGTTCATAATTGCAGTTTCACAATCTATGTCATGTTGCTTACTGTTAAAATCCTATGATGCTACGCAGGTGTTCTGTACTGGGCTGGGCTTTTGTTCCAGGATCCACCTCCAGGTACCAAAAGCCTAGATACTTAAGTCCTTTGTATAAAATAGTGCTGTGTTTGCAGATAACCTACCCGTACACTGTGAATCACCTCTAGATAACTTATAATATCTAATATAATTGTTATATAATAGCTGTTGTATTGTGTTGTTAGAGAATAATGGCAAGGGAAATGTCTAAATAGAAAATTACAAAGTGGTGTATATTCTGAAACAACTTTCTGCTGAGAGTAATGAACCATTGATATGTGCTGCAACTTAGGTAAACATCAAAAACATTATGTAAACTGAAACAAGCCAGATACAAAAGACCATATAGTACTCATTTATATGAATTGTCAGGAAAGTGTAACTTTGTGAAGAAAGTGGAGTAGTGGTTGCCTGGATTAGGAATTGGGAATAGGGATTGTCTGAACAAACATCTGGAATCTTGAACATAGATGGAAATAATCTAAACTGGATAGTGGTGATGGTTGTGCAGTTGGTTAAATTTACTGAAAATCAAACTATGCATTTAAAATGGGTGCATCTTATGTAAGGCATGGGACAGAAATAGAGAAGCAGGGTTTTTTTTAAAGATTATTTTTGTGTTGTAGGAAAGTTATGCATAGAAAGTGGTTTTATGTTTGTATCTTAAGATATGATAGAAAAAGAGAAGAAGCCTGGCTTGAGAAGGATTAATCTCTACATATTTTTGAAATAAAAATGAAACAAAAGCAAATGACGAATTTATTATTTTCTCCTTGGGAGAATCATTTTACCCTTGTATGTGCAGTAGAGGAATTAAACAGTGACTGACCTGAGGGAGACTGGGGAAAGAGAAAGAGAAAATAGTCTGAATGATGAGTTTACCCTTCAGATTTATTATTAGGTATCTGTTGGAAATGGTTAGTATTTTCAGGTTGACCTGAATCCTTTGCCTGGAAGAAGCAGAAAATTGGGGAGTTGTTGACCTGGTGGAAATGGAGTTAGATTTCTAAAGTACGAACACTTTTTCACTATCAACTTAGAAATAAATTGATTTTAGAAGTTTTGTCTGGTATACAGATACTATACAATAGTGCAAATATCTGATACCATTGTTCTTTCATGTAATATGTGAGCATTAATTAGCTGATAAATCCTAGCCTACATGCAAGAAACTTGTTCTCAAATATTTGCATATTACCCTGTGATAAAATGTACAGCCTCTGCTATCCAGTCCATTGTTCTGTATTTTATTTTTCTGTGAAGGGTGCCTGTCATACTGCTTATGACTCTTGTGTGCTGGTATGTATAATACAACCAACGTTAGGGGAAAAATAGCCTTCCTTTGTGGTATTTGCTAACTTGGTGGTGAAGATACTCCCTCTGTGGTTGATTTCAAACTACCCACCTGACCATGGAGATGAGAAGAGAGGCACACGGTTTGCTGTCAAGAGACTGAGCTGGCCCCAGCTCCTACATCACTGGTTCTGAGCAGGTTTTTAGTCTCAATGTCAAATACAATGCAAGGTACTGAAAAATACTAAACCTTTGCTAAAAGCACTAATTTTCCTTATTTAGTTTTGGTAATATGCCATAAATAGTATTTAATCTTAGTCTTTAATGTTCTCTTCAGAAACTTGAGTACTGAGTGCAATTCTGTGGATGTTTTCAAAGTGAGTCACTTAAGATAAACATAGTTTGTATTTATCAAGCCAAGCAAAAAGAAAAATTGAACCTGTCAAGGAGGCAGAATACTCCAAAATCAAATTATAGAAAAAATAGTTGTTTTGAAGTCTGTTTTTTCAAATAGTATCCCATCAAGTAAAGTGATCGTGCTTTATGGTCCCATCAAGACCGTGCTTTATGGTCTTTGAGGTAATAATACTGAAAAACCCCATAAATTGAACCTTATCAAATATGTTGATTGCTTTATAATTGTGTGTATTTATTTTTAACAGCAGTATGATGGATTAAGTGTTCCTATTCTTCAACATCCGGATCTTCAGGATATCTTACTTATTCCTGTTATTGGACCTAGGTGTGTACTTATTTAATCTTCAAATTCTAATAAATGAAAATTTGTTACAGGTTCTTTTAACTGATAAAACTGCTCCATTCTTAGTAACTTTATATGTAGCTAGATTGTAATTCACAGTTATAAAAAATGCTGACTTTCATGTTCTGTCATGAAAATAATACAAAAGACAGGGAATGGACCAACACGTTAGGTGATTATAGCATGTTAGGTTCCATTTAGTGCTGTAATTTTTTATTTTGAAGAAACTTCACTTGTTTGTGTGTGGTTTTGTTTTTTTTTTTTTTAAGTTTTACTTATGCATACAGAACTGGGGTACAGGCCAGAGGTGTGGGGTAGTGAGAGGATTCACCAGAGACAGAGTGGGGAGCAGAACAGGCAGATCAATGAAGTACACTGCTGAGGGGAGCAGTGGGCGGTCAGGAGAGGTCTGTCCCACCTTGTGGATCACTTCCAGGGCAGGTGGGGATCGAACTGATGCGGCAGTGGCTTTAACATCTTAGTGCTGGTGCTGTAACCTGCTGCGCCGCCAGGGAGGGCCTGTTTGTGTATCTTGATATCACTAAATAATAAACTTTTTTAAGTAATGAAAATACAAGATATTTTTTTCTTTCTTAGCCAGTGCATTTGTAAACTTTTCATTCACTTATAATTATATTAAATTGCTATGTACTACTATGAGTGGGAAAGCAATTTCTACTCCTTTATGTATTTGGAAGGTATACATTTGAAAACTGATAAACTTTCCATGTAATGGGCGTTCTGTTTCAAATAGCATTTAAAAATCCTTAATCATGATACAATTTTTCATACTCCTCAGAGTTATAAATGTAAGAATATAATATTGTTACTTCGCTGTATTGAATAACAGATTATACAATTAATATGATGTGTGTTTAATAGAGAGTATATATTACATGAAAATATGAATTCCTCATTTTGTTAAACTTCTAATTTAGTGAATAACAGTGGAGCAATTGTTTAATAAATTTGGTTTAGCAGAATATATATTTTTTAAAGATTTATTTATTTTTGCATACAAGAACTGGGGTGTAGGTCAGAGGTGCAGGGGGTGACAGGATTCATCAGAGACAGTGTTGGAAGCAGAACAGGTGGATTTACTGAAATACACTGCTGAGGGGCACTGGGGGGTGAGAAAGGAGAGATCTGCTGCACCACCTGTGGTTTCTCTGGGAGGATCGAACTCAGGCCTTTGTGGTGGGTGTTGATGCTCTTGCATGTCTTGACCTGGTAAGCAGAACTGTATATAAACAGTATATCTGCAAGGGGATCTAGCTCATAGGTTTTGTTTTTGTTTTTTCAGGTTTTTTTTGGGGGGGGGGCTATTGAGTTTGCAGAAAGATTGGTGAAAGAGGTTGAAGAAGTTGGAAGAGATGGAGAGTGAAGTATAAAGATTCTTTTTACTAAGTAACATTTTCTTTTTTGCATAGACTATAGGAAACAAAGAATTTTAAGAATCATGATTAAATCTGTGTTTTAGAAACAGTACTGGTAATAGCATAAAAATTAGTAGTTTGTGAAATAAGTGAAGTGCATTTTTAGTGAACATTTCTCAAAGAAATGAGATATACTGCATTCATTGCCTGTAGTAAAAATATTTTTTTCTTAAAACATGTGTGTGCAAACAAATGAATTGCAACACTGGAAACAAGTTAGGATGCTAACTCAAGAGACTATTTCCAACACTGTGGTGAATTGAACATGTTTCTGTTGCATATGCCTAAGATTATTAAGTAAAATATAGGCCATAACATGCACAGTTGAGTGATTATGAATATGTGAACTAGCCAAGGAAGTAGAAAGAAGAATACCTGAAAACAGTTATAATCCTGGTAAACAATATTTGTGGATTGGGGGTTATGGGAAAGGAAGTGGTTTCCTAAATTTAGATGCTTTGTTTTTAGCAACAGTGTGTTAACACCAGGAGGTGAGAAATGTACAGCAGTCCATCCAAGGCTGTAATTAGTAATTGGATCTCTCTTACCTTAGGGTATAGGTTGATGGGGGGGAAACATATTTTGAGAATGCAGAAGTATGGTTTCATACCTCAAAAAGTCTAGAATTCAGATTTATACTACCAGGAAGTGTTGAATCAAATCTGCAGTTTGGGAAAGTAACATAAAAATTTGATCCCAAGCCAATTCCTGAGATGCTTGGCAAAGCAGGCAAAGTTACTCTGGAGTAGAACATTCTCAGTCTAGGGCAACCATATTTCTCATGGTTAAAAACTACTAGGAATCATGGCCCTCCCTGGTGGCGCAGCGGGTTAAAGCACAGCACTGAGAAGCTAAAGCCACTTCCGCATGAGTTCGATTCCCCCCTGCCCCGGAGGTGACCACATGGCGTGGCAGACCTCTCCTGGTCCGCCGCTGCTCCCCTCAGCAGTGTACTTCGTAGATCTGCCTGTTCTGCTCCCCGCTCTGTCTCTGGTAAAGCCTCTCACCGCCCCTGAGCCTCTGGCCTGTACCCCAGTTCTGTATGAATAAATAAAAAAGGATTAGACTTCCCCCAAAATTATAGCAATTAAAGCCATATCTGGTGGAGTCTATAAAAATTATAGACTTAAAAATTATAGATTTAAAAATTATATATTTAAAAATTACTTAAAACCAAAATAGGAACCACCATCTCTTTTCTTTACATTTTTAAAAGGATGGGTTTACTGGAAAAATGATTGACCTGCAGGTGGGCAAAGAACTGCCTTTAACCAGAAATTATACTGATGTGGAATCTAAATCTTGAAAGATCCTAAGTGAGGAAAAAAAGATAGAATTGAAAAATAATCTCTAGAGACAAAAATATCATTAAATTGAAAAACTCAAGTGAGTTAAATTGTAGTTTAGACCTAAGTGATGAAGAATTATTGAATTAGATACATATGAGGGAAGACAAATCATATATTAATGTAATTGAGAATGAGCTAATTGAGAATGGAAAATAAAAGGAAAAAGTACTGCATAATTTCGGATGTAGAAATGGAAATATTGGGCAAAGATGAGTAAGAAAAATGTAATAAAAGATAGGTTTAAGAAATGAGTTTGAAGCCAAAAGTAAAAAGTAACTCATGTTTAGATACATCAGAATGAAACTCCAGAATGCAAAGGTATAAAGATCTGAAAGTAGTCAAGGGAAAAGGCAGGAAGTTATTTCAGTAAACTAGCTAGGAGATGATATATGTCTCATGTCAGGAGCTAGACCTGAAAGATCTGTCAGACTAGAGGTGACTTGATGTGATAACTCACTGAATGTCAAATTATAAGGTTTAGAAGGGATGTGGAGTACAGTTATCCAAGTAGTACGGTTACCCAAGTAGACTTTTTGTCAGACTGGAAATGTAGAAGGATGACAAGATCTGTGGTATTGCCAAGGATTTGAGAAGTGGGTTAGAGAAAAATAACATTACTTAAGACTTAAGTTGGAAGTAATTCTGGCATACGGAAGTATAACTACCTGTTTATATTAAGGATTATTGAAATCAAATGACTGCCGTATGATAGAATGCAAGGTAAAATGAGATGGCTTGTTTTGAAACTTGGAGGGGAATGGGAATGTCGACTCTCCTTATGTAGGTAGAGAATGAGCAATGAGAGTGTGTGAGACCAGGTAACAGTGTAAACCTGAATCATTTTTTGAGAAGTGATCATTTGGAGATCATAAAAAGAAAGATTTAAGTCTCCCAGCAAGAAGTTGTGGTAATACTTTTGAGTCGTTGCCAACCAGGGAAGCTCATTAGAAACAGTGCTCAAGATTTTTATTTGGAACTGATCACATAGACACCCCATGTCTTTGAAAAAAGTCTAACTTTTTTCTCGGAATGTTTTTTCCTAGTATTAGAAATGATACCCACATTTTAGTGACCCGAGGAATGATTAGGAGATGAGAGATAGGAAGACACTCAAAAAATTCAGGCAGCAAGGGAAAGAAAAAGGAATTACTTTGCCTGACTAGTGTAAATATTGATATTGATAATGATAATGTATCATGAAAACATCTGCAGACTTAGAAATGTTTTTGGACTCATGTAGATTATCTGTTTCAGTCTTTGAAGACAGAACTTTTACTTTTTAAGTGCCACCTTTTTTTAAAGAAAAAAGAACAATTTCCTTTGGATGTGTCCTTTTTTTAAATAAAGCTTTGTTCATTTATTCATTGGTGACATTTTGGGAAAAAAATGACAAAGATTTAGATTGAAATTTTGAAAAGGTTTGCCACTGTTGGGGGTATTTTTCTCTGTTAAATGTGTTGTCTTACATTCCTAGGAAGAACATAAAGAAACAACAGCATGAAGCCATTGTTGGAGCCCAGTGTGGCAATGCAGTGTTAAGAGGAGCACATGTATATGTTCCAGGAATTGTGTCAGCTTCAAAATGTAAGTATGTTTATGTTTCTCTTTGTTTCATAAATCTTATTAAAAGAAAAAAAATTAGTATAGTTAAAACTGGCATGCCTACCATTCCCGTTCCTTCCACTTCTATCATTAGGAGCTTGATCTGTAGACTAGCAGATCTTACTTTATATTTTCACATATGTATAAAATACAATTTGTAGGTCTTAAAGTTTTTATATAAATGACAAATTATTCTAGTATTGGCTTTTAAAAAATTGACCCTACTTAATGTATAGATCTATTAGAGAGCAACCTAACGTTGCTGCCTGTCTGTGGGTCCTCACCCGTGCGCTTAAGATTCAACTGTGTACACACACACAAGGTCAATAATGGGTTTATTTACAAGGAAAAAAGGAAAGAACAACTGAAAGAGAGAGAGAGCGCGTGCTATTACTGATTTATAATTTAAGACATTGGTGAAATTTAATTCCCTTTCTCTAAAACTACAGTCTACTGTCAAGTCATTTGTGAGGACAATATTTAGAACCTGGAGTCTTAACATTGGATGAAATTCTTAATTTATTCTTTTAGTTGATGATGTAATTGCATATATTTTGTAAGCTAGTTGGTGTTTTAGCCCCTACTTTATTGGATTTGAATTAAAAGACATGGGGTTTAATCCAGTGGGAAGTTATTTAGTGACTGAGCCTCATTTGTCTTGACTAAAATAAATAAATTGATTGATAGGGTTTGGCAAACTTGCTTGCTGGCCATGTGTGGCACTTGTCTGTTTTTCTGTGGTCTACAAACTGAGAATGGTTTTCTCCATTTTTTAAAAGTTGTACCAAAAAAAATTACAAAGAAGACTATGGCAAGATGTGACTTACAAAATCTAAAATATTTGCTTGCCCTTTACAAATAGTTCATTGATAGTTGGGTATGTCTGTGGGATTTGAACAGCCCGTCTAGCTTTAGTTGATAAGGCTACTTATTCACTGCTGTGTTGAGTTAATGGGTCAGACAAATTGATAATAGCCTAGGTCTTAAAACAGCTTTTGGAAGTAGAATACAGCTTATTTAATCATTTAAATCTAGTTTTTTTAGTCATATTAATAAACCATATAAGCCAACTCTGTATAGTGTACAGTTTCAAAGTATGCATAGCACAGGTATCTATTTTTGATATATTACTTATACATGTTATACATACATACATATATGTTGGGGCATAGGGATAAATCCCCCCTCCCTCTGGGTTCTTTTTGAGCTGTACAAATAATCAGAACTGCATCTGAGGGGGTAACAAGGAGAAATTTATTTTTTTTTTATGTGCATGAGGGAGTATGATGCTTATGCAGGTTATGTCATCAGTTAGGGAGGACAGGGTACAGAGGGACCTGAGGCTCCTAGAAGAGGGACGACTTCATTCTTACACGACACGGTAGGGAAACGACTTCACCTTTTACTATAAAAATAAGATGAGATTGTCAGTGAGAGCTTGTTTTTTTAGATAAACTTAACAGCTGGTTGAGACCTCTGACCTAGATTCTAATGGTCATAAGTGGAGGAGCAATGATTGTTTATTCAGTTAGGAAAGTTGAGAAACTTGAGATGTGATGGTTTCTTAGGGGAAGGAGAAGGACTTAGGTAAGGACAGAATCATCTCTTCTGTCTTCAAAGGATTTCATTGCTCTTAGCTGAAAATACTTGCATGCCGGAACAGGAGAATCCTGGGGGGGTCTGATTGGGGCACTTCATATACATTCACTTACACTTATATATCTGAATGTATATCTGTATTAAAATATCTGCTTTGATTGCTAAAACAGAAAAACTACATAGAATGAGCAAAAGATTATGGGAAATAGAAGGATTTCTTTGAGGAATTTTAGTATAATTTTGATGAGTACTTGTGAGGGAAATTTAGAACTGTGAGGATTGATAAGATTCATATGAAGTCTTTGGGAGAATGTTAACCTCAGGAATGATTAAAATAGAGGACATCCCTCTTTTATATTCAGTTAAAGACTTCCAGTTGAGGTAGGGTGTTTTGAAGAGTAGTTATTTAGTTGTTATCCTGGGGAAAAACAACTTCAGTTAGATTTATTGTTGGGAAGCATTTAAAAATAAAATTAAAACATTATTTCTGTTAGAGATTATATCGAGACGGGGCAGTTTAAACTGCTTCATACGCACTATTGATCCCTTTATAGCCACTTTCTCCTTGTAAAAATTTTTCACTACGAGTTGGTGAGTGCTTATGAATGCAGGACACACTGAGAGAAATAAAAAGGATGTATTTACATAGTAAAGAGTGTGCAGAGCACTTGATTGTAGCCTAGTGCAATATTCCCAGGTGGTAGTAAAAAGAAAGTGGACGTGCTGCTGTTCAGTGTTTTTAAGTCAGCATGGCCCCTCATCTTGTCCCCTCATTCCTAACAGTTCCCCCACCTCACCCTTTCAGAAAGTCCTGTTTGTGGCATGCTGGGAATTGCAGCGCTCTGTTCATGAAAATGGGGGTGCAGGGAGACATTAGGTGATAGACTCACTGCCAGTGCTATTTTGCTGGGCCAGGCCCTACTCCCCTTTCTAATATTACCCAAGTATAGGTCACGTAATACAATTTTCTTCTTTTTCTAGTTATGAAAGCTGGAGATGTTATTTCTGTGTACTCTGATGTTAAAGGCAAATGTAAGAAAGGAGCTAAAGAATTTGATGGAACAAAAGTATTTCTTGGAAATGGAGTTTCTGAACTAAGCCGAAAAGAAATCTTTGGTGGGCTACCTGAACTGAAGTAGGTCATCCAAGTTATCTGGGGGAAAATAAGTACCTTTTTAGTAGTTCAAAAATTAAAAGCAATGTAAAAAACATAACCTAGTTGCGTAGGTTTTTTGTTTCTTTTGCTATAGATTCAACTGTAAAATAATTGTTTAACTCATATTTCTATGCTTTTATTTACAAAAGAAAACAATCAGGTGGCAGTCTTTGTAAGCAACTAGTCACATTTTACCAAATAATTTTATTTTTACTCTTGAATTTTATTGATTTTGAAAATTTTTGCTTATCTTGACTAAGGTTGAATTAGATGAGCTAATTAGATGAGAAAGGAAAGCTTATAATTTTAATATAAGCTGATATATATATATCAGTTTATATTATAGTTAGTTTTACATCATCCCTGGTTGTTTCTGGTTCCAAATTAAGTTATAGGCAATCCAGTTTCTTCACTTGTGTAGTGTTCCTTGCCTGTTTAGAAGTTCTGTGGACAGTGACATTACTCCAAAATTAACAGATGATGTAGGTATGCTGAGAACTGTGAATTTATTTATCTAGCACTGAACCACATACTCCTGCAGTAGCCATACTCACCACAGGGACAGGCTACAAATTCTGCAGAAATCGTTACACCCTAAGGAACAACATAAACTTAACATGGCATAACAATTTGATCATCATCCTAGTTTTCTGGCACACAGTTACTAAAACCCTGGTACTCTGAAAATGGGAAAAACGCCCTATGTATGTTAATGAAGTGACTGTTACTAAAACCCTGGTACTCTGAAAATGGGAAAAACACCCTATGTATGTTAATGAAGTGACTGTTACTAAAACCCTGGTACTCTGAAAATGGGAAAAACTCCCTATGTATGTTAATGAAGTGACTGAGGATGTATAGATAGCTGAATCCAGATGGTGACTGGTTGCCCAGAGGAACCAGTTAGTTTGTTGCTTTCTGTTCCATACCAGACCTCTAGGGAGGCGAGAGAGACTGGAGATTGAACTCCAGTGATAACCAATGACCAGTGAGTTTGTCATTCACACCTATATAATGTAATCTCCCTTGATCCACCAGATCTTGATACTGGGAGAGCTTCCAAGTTGGTGAACTCATCCAAGTGATGGAAGGAGGGTGGTGCCTTAGGAGAGGGCTAGGCACAGAGTGTTCTGTTCCCATACTTTGCCCTTTGCATCTGTTCCTTCTCAGTGTTTCTGAGTTGTATCCTTCCTAATAAACTGGTAACAGTAAAGAAAAGTTTCCTCAGTTCTGTGGGTCATGTTTGAGAGTGTTCAATACTGAGCAGGGGTTGTTAGAGCCCTCACATTTATAGCCAGTGAGAAGTGCAGGTGGCAGCCGGGGTTATTCATATGGTATCTGGACTGGAGCCAGTTTTGGTAAACTAAATCCTTGAACCTATGGAGTCTGATAATACCTCTCGGTAGTTTGTGTTAGAATTGTATTGAATTGTAGACCCTAGAGAGTTGGAGTACTGGTGAGTATGAGAAAAAAATCTTGGGCAGAAATGTTAAGTACAATTTAGTTAAAATTTAAACAAAAAAGTCCCTTGCCTACTTCAAGTAGGGTACAAACCACCTGAGATACTCCTCTGCCAAAATTGGTTCTGAGCAATGAATGTATCTATTGTATCTAACTCTTCTTGTTTTCCATTATTTGGACTCTCTGTGCTTGTACCTGGCTAACTCTGGGCTCTTAATCTTGCCTTTATGACTAGACCTTGTTTTTTTTCCCTGTATTCTTCTAATCACCACAACACTGCATTGGTCTCTCCTTTTTCTTGCCTCATCTGGTGTGCCCTTGGCCATGTTTGACTTTCTCTAATAGGATTTGTATGCTTTCTCTCCCTTTTGGTAGTTTCTGACAGCCTCTTTCAGATTGTAATGTTTGTCTTAATGAATCACTGTTCACCATGTTCTCCTGCATCCTGGCCCCTTTGTTCTGATTAGTTCCACTGCCACTCATAAAATGGGACAAAAGTGGGAGAAATCTTGAGGCTGTGTCAGTACCGGGCAGTTACTCCCTACAGTAATGAGAGGATGGCAGCGCAGCACATTTGTCATTGCTTAGCATCATTATGATTCTCAAAGATGTTTTCACTTCTCATACAAGTACCTAGTACAGTGCCTTGCAAAGAGAAACATTCACAAAATGTTTATTTGAAAAGCTAATAGCAAAGATCTGCTACCAGAAAGATTATAATGAATTAGTAAATAAAAACTTGGATGTTCTTTGCCTTTTAGTTTTTACAGATATCCCTAAAGAAATTCTTTTGTGCCTAAATGAAAAATCTGTATAACTACTCCTTTTAGTTCTCTAATGGTGGTCTTCTTTTCTGCGTAAATATTGAGAAACAATTCTCAGAAATATAACGTTTTGGTGCTGAATATAAAAGGTTTTAAAAGTCAGGTCACCTTGACTGGATTAAAAAGAGGTGGTACATGTACACAATGGAATATTACTCAGCAATCAAAAGAAGATGAACACATGCCTTTGCAGCAACATGAGTGGAGCTGGAAGGGATCATACTTAGTGAAATAAGCCAGAAAAGAAAGGAAAAAATACCAGATGGTTTTACTCATCCGTTAAGGAGTATAAAGGACCAAGGGACAAAATAATAATAATAATGAATAACTGTATACCGAGACAGTTTATGGGGGTGGAGTGAGAAATGGGATAAAAAATGGGGTGGGGGGAAGGAGTGCACTGGACTATGGTGATGGCACATGGGTGATTTGATGATGGGAAGCCCACGGGGATTCCAACTGAGATGAAAAATGACATAAAATGTAAAAATAAACTTATTTTTTAAAAAAGGCAAGTCATCTTATATTTAGCATGTCTCATGGGTGTGTTCATGTAGAAATGGAGCTTATGTATATGTAATTTATGCTAATGTCAGATTTTTTTCTTTTCAGAGGTATAGGCATAAGAATGACAGAGCCTGTGTATCTCAGCCCTTCATTTGACAATCTATTGCCTGGATATGTATTTTTACAGGTAAATATTTATAATGACTGAAATATTTTAGTGAATTGTTTGAGATCTAAGGTTTTTTCCTGCTTCTAGCTTATTTTTTGCAGTGTATATATTTTCTGGTATGTCTTTGGTTAGGCACTAAGAAAAAACTTAGTTCTTTTTTCAACTGATCTTTTAAACTACTTTTTCTCCTTGTTGAAGGGTGCCTTAGTAATTACTGATTTCCATCTGAGAATATTAATCTCTGAATAATGTGTTTATTTGATATATAGATGAATGTCCATTTGAGACCTTGAGTAAAATTCAGATGTTTTATTGTTAATGTATTTTGTCAGGTGGTTATTAATTGCCAAGCTATAACAAGTAATTTGTTGTCTTTTCCAGTTTCTTAAGTAATTCTGTGTACATTAACTCATTTGATTTGTTATCTGCTGCTTAGGGGTAATATTGGTGGTGTTGGTATTATTATTGTTCCCTAAATAAAATGTATATATTGAAGATGATCTGTTAGGGTTTTTGAACAAGGTCATACAGTTGCAGTTGTATCTGGACTCATGCAGATATTATTTTCTTATTTTTCCTGCCAGTGTTTAACCAAAAGACATTTATAAATTCAGAGGTTATTTCTGGTGTTAAAAAAATAGAAATACAGATTTATGGTTTTTTTTTTGTTTTTTTTTTAATTACACACTAATGATGATTTAACACATTAAGATATATAATCTAACTTAATTATCCAGATTTTTCTTTAGTAATATATGGCAGCCATGTTTTTTAAAATAAGTTTGGTGTTGTGCTAAGTAATTTAACTATATTACCACAAGTTTGCACTGCACAAACTTAGGAAAACTGATGTTTCTTTTTTTTTTTTTTAAAGATTTATTTATTTATGCATACAGAACTGGGGTACAGGCCAGAGGCTCAGGGGCGGTGAGAGGCTTCACCAGAGACAGAGTGGGGAGCAGAACAGGCAGATCTACGAAGTACACTGCTGAGGGGAGCAGCGGGCGGGTGAGGAGAGGTCTGCCACGCCATGTGGTCACCTCCGGGGCAGGCGGGGATCGAACTCATGTGGAAGTGGCTTTAGCTTTTCAGTGCTGTGCTTTAACCCGCTGCGCCACCAGGGAGGGCCAGACTGATGTTTCTTAAATGTATCAGTAATTTGTTGATTAAAGGGGATGAGGTTTGTCATAGGCTGACTAAAGAAGTTGTATCTTGAGGAAATCATGTATCTGGGCGCCTTCGCCCATTCTTTGTTATTAAAGTTACTATATAGAATGGGTAGGTATAGGTATTTAAATACTTTGCTGGGAAAATTCCTGAGGAAATTTGTCCATTTTATTTATTTGATGCCTCTTGCCCTGCCTTTCCATGAGCAAGCATTATCCCTAAATCTCTACTCTGTTTACGGGAAGAAGATGGGATGGGATGTTAGGGGCTAATGATAACCAATTATGTAAGTGGCTAGTGATAATGGATTAGTTTTCACTTTAGCATCTGGTGTTACACCAGGCTGTTCCTTATAAAGTTACAGGTAATGTTATATGTAATATTTAAAATTACAGCTGCAGTATTATTTGACTTACCAAAGTCAAAAGAGAAGCTTGAATCGCTTCAATTGTAGTCCACAGTTACAGAATAATCTTAGATGCCTTTTACATTTGAAACATTAAAGGTTTAACACTAAATGTTTGCAGCAACTGCTTTTAATGTTATATTCTAGGTTACCCTGAAAAAGAAATTTGACTGAACTTAATTATCTCATTGCCTAGCTTTTTTTTTCCCTTGTGGAAAATGAAAGGACCAGATGAGAGTAGACAATTTAGAGAACTTTCATTTCATTTACTGCTTGGGCCCTAGCTCCCTCCCTAATTGGTTTTAGTTGGCCTGGCCTAGGTGGAAACTGGGTCAGGATATCGCAGACCTTCACCAGTGAATGTAATGTGCAGCTAAATTTGGGAATGACTGTAGCACAGTTATGGTTTCAGAGATGGAATCACCTGGACATATTTTAAAAACAGTGAGGTCTGGGCTCTGATTTATCTGTTCAAGTATTGGACATTTATTTTAAAGTTACTAGTTAATTCTGTTGTATAGTTAATGTTGATAAATGCTATAAAAAGGCAGGAGACTAAATTGTTTTACAGAAACTTCATCAACACCTAACTATTTAATGAAGTCTCTACACTTTTACTGTTACACATTACTGGAAGGTTCTTTCTTCCTGTAGTATGTTTGATTGGAAGTTTCTGTCATGTTTGCCTGGTATATTAATGTTTGTCACTGTTAGGAGCGAAATACAACCAGTTTTCTCTAGGTAAAACCCACTAAATCTCTAGTAGTCATATAAGTATTTTGGTGTTTTCATATCAGTTTAATTTTTTAAATATTTTTGTAATAAATAAGGTCATTGAAATAAACGTATCTTTGACAGATTAAGTTGTTTTTAGTGTGAAGGGACTGCTTTTCAGGTACCTAAAATATTTCATTGATTATAATGCTTTGTATTTTCAGAGGGGAGCAAACTTGCTAGTTGGAAGTTTACTAGTTTCCCTTTCTCACCATTAATTTTCTCTTTGAAATGCGGTCCTTGAATTCACTGGAGGACTTTGTAACCTTCTCATAGTTCTTGAGGATGTACTAATAGAAGTAACTACTTTGGTATGTGTATGGAAACCTTTCAACAGAATAAACAGCTCCATGCTCCTTAGCCTCCGCTTTTTTTTTTTCTTTTTCTTAACCAAGTAATTTCGAAAATGTAATTCATCTCATGGTAGACTGTCACCCTGTAGTAGCAGTCCATATATATTTATATTTAATACTAATATGAATTAGTGACTCACTGTAACTTATTGCTATAGATGAGGCATATTTGGGTTGTGCATTCTTGTTATCTGTCCTCCATGTGCTAATATAAATTAGCAAAGTTGTTTTTTCTTTTGCAGTTTGCTGTTTTGAAATATAGCGTTAGGGAGGTAGGAGCCCCACCTTGCTGTGGAATGGTATTAGCAGCATAAAACAGAGTCTTCAATGGGAATTAAATGGTAAAGCACTTGAAATTGCAGATTTTCATACATTTTCTGAGAAAAGATCCAGAGCTTTCCCTATTTCTAAGAGATATCTAGCTTTTGAAATATTTATAACCACTGACCATAGAAAAGACAATATGCTTTTTTTACAGAATTGATTAGAGAAATGTCATGTGTCAATGTGTGTCTGTGCATGTGGCTCTCTTGTGAGGTCACGGGATATGTTAGATCTAGAGTCACTGCTAATTTTTTCTTTTCCTTACAGAATTTGCCATCCGCTGTAGTAACTCATGTTTTGGATCCTCAACCTGGGGAGAAGATTCTAGATTTGTGTGCAGCACCTGGAGGCAAAACAACACACATTGCAGCATTCATGCATGATCAGGTGAGATTGCCTTCACAGCTAAATTCCTTTCAGCATATTAATAGTTTAGTCATGAAGGTGGAACTGCATCTATCTTAAAAAACATGTAGACATTTACAGTCTGATGAATTTCAGATCCAGCTAAGGTGAAGACTTTTTAGTGGTATTAGTCATCATTTATTAGGTTCTGTAGACCATTATAATTTGTGAAGACTGTCATCTCGATTCCCGGCCCTCCTGGTAGCGCAGCAGATTAAAGCACAGCACTAAGAAGCTAAAGCCACTTCTGCATGAGCTCGATTCCCGCCTGCCCCAGGGGAGATCCACATGGCGTGGCAGACCTCTCCTGATCCTCCCACTGCTCCCCTCAGCAGTGTACTTCGTTGATCTGCCTGTTCTGCTCCCCACTCTGTCTCTGGTGAAGCCTCTCGCCACCCCTGAGCCTGTGGCCTGTACCCCAGTTCTGTATGTACAAATAAATAAATCTTAAAAAAAAAACAACAAAACTCCATTCCCAAATTGGATTTACAATTTAGAATGAACTATTCCTTCATATGCTTAAGTTTAAAGAAGACATTAAATTGAAAGAAAACTTATAGTGTTCTTAGTTATAACACTCGATACTTGTTTAAATTATTAAATTCTTCCACTAAATGTTAATTTGACAGCATATTATTAAAGTATCAGAATATATATTGATGCATAGACATTCATATGTGACATATAAATATGTATGTCGGCACAGATAGAAAGCATGTATTCTTACTGTCTTACTGTTCATAAAACCTTTTCACCTGGTTTAATTAGAAAGCTTTCTTCATTGTCACAAAATATAAGTCTGTTGTTTTGAATAACTTCAGGTCAGATCTCTCTATATAAATAATGTACATATAAAATATATATATGTATGCATGTGTGTATATGTATATATACACATATTTGCTAATGTGTTTTCTTTCATGATGGTCTAGTTTTATCTGTAGTCAGACTCCGTGTGACCTTGTAGCCATTCTGTAGTTATTACTTTACTGTGTGCCAAGTACTGGGGATATAGCAGTAATCCCCAGTAATGTTTCATAAGGTCTATTCATTGTTAATTTTTAAGAATACTTTGGATTTATTCTTGATTTTTATTTATATTTTTTAGGGAGAAGTTATAGCGCTTGATAAAATATCCAACAAAGTGGAAAAAATAAGGCAGAATGCTTTATTGTTAGGATTAAATTCCATCAGAGCATTTTGTTTTGATGGAACGAAGGCTCTTAAATTCAGTATGGACACAGAAGGTGAGTTAAATTTTTAAAAGTTTTATCACTTTTAACTTTTACAAACAAATTTTACTAGTATTGCTGCATCCCAGAATTTCCACATAGCCTTGAAATTTTAGCATGGATGTCAATAAATATGGCTATAATACCTTTTTGGTTTTCATCTTTTTCCTGATTAGGTCTTTAATAATATAGAGTTAAATCCTCAAACCTTGGTCAAATTTGTTGTTCTTAACATATTTGTCTTATTCTTACACTACATTTCTGAAAGCCTTTGAGATAGGATATTAGCTTTTTAATTTTATGATTACTGAAACCTATGGAAGTTTGGATCTAGGGCACTGTTGACTCATTCGAAAGCATAACTTTCCTGAAGACCACAGAAGAGAGGCTATAAAGCTATACTACGAATACTTTTGACCAGCACCTAACAGGAGTTCTTTTTTGGGTGGGGGAGGGAGTAATGCTGTTTACAGTATATATTACCAAGAGAAGTGTCAGCTCCAGGATGATGCTTAATTCCAGGTCCCAGCCCCAAGAATTGTGGTTTCTGACATGGGTAGTATGAGGTGTCATTTGATTAGGCCTTGGTTTGAACTATATCAGTAGGCTAACCCTCAGCTGTAATTATCACAAATGTAATTTATTTTTGAGTATTTTCACTGTTTACTTTATATATAAACTATATATAGTAGTTTATTGTTACATATTTTTGTGCATTTTTCCACCTCAGTTGCAATTCCCTTGGGCTTCCCATCACCAAATCACCCATGTGCCATCACCATAGTCCAGTGCATTACCCTCTCTCTGCTGTTTTTGATTCCATTCCCCACTCCACCCCCACAAAGTGTCTGGTATATGGCTGTTCATCACTATCATTAGTTTCTCGCCTGTTCTGTTATATTCCTGCTATGAGAGAAACCATCCGGTATTTTTCCTTTTCTTTCTGGCTTATTTCACTAAGCATGATCTTTTCTAGCTCCATCCATGTTGCTGCAAAAGGCATGTGTTTGTTTATTATTATTATTATTATTATTATTATTTTGGTTGCTGAGTAATATTCTATTGTGTGTATGTACCACATCTTTTTAATCCAGTCATCCATTTTTGGGCATTTGGGCTGTTTCCATGTCTTTCCAATTGTGAATAAAGCAGCAGTAAACATGGGGGTGCAGGTATTTTTTGAATCAGTGTTTTTGTGTCTTTGGGGTAGAT